CCCCCACACACACCCAGTAATACTTGCCTAATGTTCCTTCCAGTTCTGGGAACTGACACAAAAGTTCCTAATCCATCAGAACCACTGTCAACATCAGTCCAGCTTAGATGTCAAGGCCTGAGAGAACAAAAGGGCCTTTGCTTGCCTGTAGAAGGAAAATAGGTTGGGTGGGAAAATAGCCTCCCTTGGCAGGAAAAGCCTGACAACAGCCACTGAGAAAACCATCTCTATATAATCCTTTCTCTACAGTTCCAACAAAAAAAATAGAGGCTCCTCAGTAGATAGGAATATCTTGCACATGGAAGTGATATGGTATAGCTCTGAAATTAGAGGAGAACAAACACTGAGATCAAGTGGAAAGAAAATGATTGGCACAATCCTATACCGGTCTGCTTAATAGTAGATCCTTTTGAGTTCACTGAGACATACTCCCAATTCAGTGAAATCATGGCTGGCCTAACTATTAGAAGTGAAATAACTGCCTTGGGTGGCAGTGGCTGGCTGGGGGAGCAATGGCAGTGCATCCCAGTGTGTACTGAAGTATGGCAGTGTGGTTTAGGTGCCAGTCCAGCAGGCTCTTGTACATGGAATAAAGGTGAGACACAATCCTGTTATTTATCTCAGGCAACAAAATGTTTTGGGTGGTCCTTCATCAGACTTGCAGCCTTTGCCACACTTAAGAATGGGACAAGGGCCCATTTAGGGCTGCTATTCAACTTCATATAAAGATATCAAACATATAAGGATTCATAATTGCATCCCTTAGATGCAATTATGGTTGACATATGTGGCACTGACGTTTATGACTTTCTTTGAAGAAGGAAGAAAACTAATTAATTCCATTTTCATGCATCTTTGATGATCATACTTTCTACAAATGTGTTATATCCTGCATGATGGGAAGTGTATAATTTCCTGGTCAAAGATGTGGCATGGAATATTTGGCTGTAGGATCTAACAGATGTGTCCAAAGCTGCTAAACATGGCTTGAATGATCAGTAGCATCAGCAGCATCAGCAAAGAAGAAGATTTGTGAGTCAAAATATATCTTAATTTTCTTAAGGAGTGGTACGCAACTGCGGAAGGGTAGTGAACCACATCAGTGCCCCCAGGAGATCTTGGAGGGCTACATGCCCTGTTTTACCTTCCAAAAAAAAAAAAAAAACCCAACAGCCTTTTTGCTCCTCCTCCTCGCCCTCCTCTTCACTGTCTCCTTTTCTGCCAACAGTCCTGCCTGTATCTTCCTTTCCTGCCTAGGAAAACTACCGTGACAGCTCTGCCTCGCTTCCAGACATCAGTGCACTTTTGTCACCTCCACCACAGGTCTATAAGTCTTCCCTCAGGTCTACAAGTCTGCCTGCTAGGGGGATAACACTGAAGGAGGTTTCTGCAGTAGTGGAGAGGAAAGTGATGTCAAGGTGGGAAAGGGAGGTACAGCATATCCTCTATGCATTTTCTCTCTGTGTTGTTTGTTCCTGTTCAGTCAATATAGAAGTGTTATTATAGAACAAAAAGTACTGTATATACTCATGTATAAGTCTAACATTTCTGGTCAAAAAATTACCCAAAAAACCTGAGATGACTTATCCACGGGTCAATGTAGGTATTGTACTTTAACTCTAATTTTAAAAAGGAACCGTCCCCTAGTGAAAGGCAAGAGTATAATTTGTCCTGAAAGCACTGACCCAACTCTACTCTCTCATCCATCCAGCATTTATAATTGCATAAGCAATTATGCCTGCTGAAATTTTGTAATTCTTTGGCATTGTTTACCTTTGCTTTATCCTCTAGATCCTTTGCTACATGGCCCTAAGTTTTACCCTCAACTTATCCATGGGTCATAGCAAAATCCATAATTTTAGAGGCAAAACCTTCCCTCAACTTAATACATGAGGTCAACTTATATTGCAGTATATATAGTATTTGCTTTGAAAATGAAACAGTTCTTAATCAGTGCAAAAACAAAACAAAACTGTGAAAACTGCTGTTCCACCAGTGATAGAGGTGACAAGAAAGAGCCTACAGCCTCTACTACTACATGGAGTGAAGGGGGGAAACCCTCCAAGATATAATGAAAATTACTTGTTTCTCAGTCCCAAAGCAAATGGGCCAAAAAGACTACACTGGCCCCAATTGCACCGGGACTGTGTTGATTGCACAGCCCTGGTCCTGATCCGGGCTGCCACCATGGTCCCAAACCAGGCCGTCAGAAGGAGTGGATTATATCTGCTCCTTTTTGGCCCAGTTCTTATTGCTTGGTGCGGTGCTGGCGCAGCTTCCGGCTGTATTCGAGGCACGCATTGTCTAAATGCCACACTCTCAACATGGCCCAAAGTCAGCACTTTTTGCTTGTGCATTTCAGGCCTGAGTTTCACAAAAACTATCATTAACAGTGAAGAATGTCCAAAGTATGTAATTATAAAATGTTACTGTTAAAATATGAATATACATAAATGTATGAACAAAAAAACGCACATTAAACAAATGAAATATTATTATTCATTTCCTATGTTGAGCTGGGGAGGCACAACATCCATATGTGGGTGTAAAGTGGGTCACAAAGGTAATAATAATAATAATAATAATAATAATAATAATAATAATAATAATTCATTTATACCCTGCCCCTCTACATAGCAATCGGGGCGGCTTCCAACATAAAAATACAATACAATAAAATCAATTGCAAACCCTCACCCTTCCACCCCTTAAAAAGTTATTAAACAAGCATCAGCTAAAACAGTTTAAA